CCCCTCAACGCAGCACGAACGGGACGACCACTAACGCGTGGCGTAAGAGTGGCAAGAGAGAGAGACGAGAGAGCGGAAAGAGAATGCCGTGGCACCACGACCGCGCAAACGGAACCAACCTGGCGTGAGAGTGGCGAAAAAGCTACCCGTGACAGTTGTTGCCTGGGTATTTTCGGTGCAGATCATAGGGATGAGGAGGAGGAAAAAAAGGAGGAGGAGGAGGAGGAGGAGGAGGAGGAGGAGGAGAGGGATGACATCGGAGGAGGAGAGGGGAGGAAGGAGGCGAACCTGCCAGAGCAGCGATCAGCACTTGACGCAGCGCTCAGGCCAACCTGCCATAGGCGAGCCGTTGCGCGCAACCAAGGCCTTGGGGAAGTGACGGCAAGGCAAACCTACACTGCAGAGCCCACGCTCCGTAATGACCACGTAAACTACAGAGCCCGACAAATGCCCCATCAAATGAATCGGCTCCGAGGCCGAGGGAGAGCATATCTGCCAAGAGTGCAAATGATAAAAAGCGTATCGTGTGACAAAAAGGCTGACCAGGCCCATGGGAGGGAGGGCGGGAGAGCGGGCGGAGGGGGGGAGGGGGAGAGGCACCTACCAAGCACGCCTACGGACGCGATGGTCGTCATCGACATCCTCAACATCGTCAACATCAACATCCTAATCATCGACATCGTCAACATCGTCATCATCAGTATCAACATCAACATCGTGATCACCATCATCAACAACAGCATTGTCATCCTCATCGCCACCACCCTTGTCGGTATCGTCGCCATCACCACCACCACCGTCATCGGTCACCTTCACCACTACCACCTTGACCATCATCAGCATCATCATCATCATCATCGCCGCCGCCGCCACCATCATCATCGGCACCACCGCCACCACAATCATCACCGCTACAATCACCACCATTACCACTATCATTGTCGACCACTAACACATACCATCGCAACACAATCATCATAGTCATCACCACCACCATCATCATCATCAACATCATCAGCATCGTCATCATCATCTTATGAAATACTAGGGGATGCGGAGGTATAGCATGCTGCGTTCCTCCGATCATCGCTCATGCAAAAAAATATTCGGAAGAGGAAGAGGAGGAGGGCGCTGCGATCATCCGATCGTAGAACGCGAGGCGCAAAAGGAGGAGGGGTGTGGTCGAGACGGCGCACCGCCTCCTCTGGACTCAGCCTCCCGACTTCTGGAGGCGCGGGAGGTGCTGAGTCCAGACGGAGTAACCCCAGGCGGAGGCCAAACACTCCGTGCTGCCTCGCTCTATCTGGACCTAGACTCTCGCATTCTTGGGGCCTCCTCCCCCTCTCGTCCGTTCGCCCCCCCGCCCCGAGCCGTCCATGCGCCAAGCCCAGCCCACATCCGCGCGCGCCACCTGCTGGGCCATGAAGGGCAGCGGGTTGCCTTGCTGCCAGAGGCCGCGACGACGAGGACGAGGACGACGGCAAGGACGACGAGGACGAGGACAAGGAGGAGGATCGAGGACCGAGGATCGAGGAGGAAGAAGGATCGGGAACCGGGGATCGCGATCGATAGTCGAAGATCGAAGGAGGGAAGAGGAGCGAGGGTCAAGCTTTTGGGGTGTCTTTTTTTGGGGGGTGACGAAATAGCCTGAAGGTTCGCTCGCTTTGCCAATGCTCCATGCGGTGACGAATGCAAAAACACCTGCAGTGGCCCCAGACTCGGGCTTCAACAGACGATGCGAATGACAGGTGTTGCCAACCACGCTGCTCAAATCCGTTTCCCATCATGGGGGCGATCAGCACACCACGCGAAGCACACAGCCGCGGGCACGTACCATCCTCAAACGCGAAAGCGGCGGCGCAGAACTCTGAAAGGCCAGTCGGGTAGGCGTCACCACAGTCAGGGAAGAGGACGAGGAGGAGGAGGAGAGAATGACAGGTAAAACAAGTAGCGGCGGAAGCTGCGGATTACCCTGCGGCCTCTACGCCGACTGAACATGATGTGTTTGAAGGGATAGCACAAACAGCAGCACTGGAGAAGCGGAGGGAGGAGGAGGAGGAGGAGGAGGAGGAGGAAGAGGAAGAGAAGGGAGGGGGGAAAAGGAAGAAAAACAACCTGCAGACAGCCTCGATGCCGAAGCAGAGGAAGCAAGGTCGTGTGAGACCCGCATACAATACAACAGGCGATGTCATATCTAATGAGTGATGGATTAACCTGCGCACGCTCGTCGTCATCCACAATGGGGCCACAGGCCGACGGGAAGCAGCGGCCCGTGGGGCGGAGTGCCCGGCAGGCGAGCCCGGCGGGAGACTGGTGCCACAAGCCGCGCCGCTGTCAGCCGACAACAGGGCGGCGCCTGGGCATTAACACTTCTAGCGACACGAAAAAACTCATGCCTACCAGCTACTGCGTGCACACTCTAGGACGGAGATTCGAACATAACGAGAAACAGCATCACAAGCACTTTCCACTTCGCCAGCTACCAGCCCTCCGCGGTCCAGATCTGGAGCTCCGCGAGGCAGAAGTCGGGGGGCGAGCGAGGACGAAACAGGCAGAGGAAAGAGACGAGAGGGGAGGAGAGCGAATCGTTCTTGACAGCCTCGGCAAGCACTGGGCGCTGCTGCAGCCAGCTACGCAACAAAATCGTGAACTCGGCACTCGTGAGCTCGGCACTGCGAGTCCAGGACACGTCACGGACTCGGTGCGCCGAAAGAAGGCGGCAGCGAGCGAGGGAGGGAGGGAGGAAAGCGGGAGAAAAGGGGCGAGGGAGGAAAGCAGCATCAATCGGCTGCTCGGCGCAGAATATGTCCCAGTCCATCGGCCACGCGGCCGGGACAGGGGACACGATAGCTTGCACCACAAGGGCCCCAATTCGTTGAAAAAGTGCCACAGGCCGCTGACTAGCAACATAGGTGCCTCGCCCGCCGACTACCTGGCTGCGCCGGCCGAAGAGGAAGCGAAGGAAGGGAGGAAGGAGGAGAGGCAGCCCTCCTGCAGCGTCTCTGGCGCCACACGTGCTCGTAAAGCTGCGCGGACAATCCTCTGGCAGGATGACGCTGGTTGAAATCAAAACTCGCTGCCATGCGCGCCACCCCCGCGGGGGGCCACAATCCCGAGGAAGACGTGGGCCGGGCCCCGACGACGACGACGGCGACGAGACGACCACGACCACGACGACGACGACGACGACGACGACGACGACACCCGACGACGACGGCCGACGACGACGCCGCCGCCGCCGCCGACGACGACGACGACGACGAGGAGAGGGGGAGGCCAGGGCAGGAGGGAAAAAGGGGAGGGGGAGGGGGAGGGAAGCGGAGGGGGAGGGGAGCAGAGGGGGAGAGGGGCAGGAGGAAAGAGGGGAAAGGGGCAGAGGAGAAGAGGGAAAGGGAAGGAGCGGCCCCCAGCCCCCAAGGAGTGCGGCCCCCAGGGGGTGGCTTGGGACTGGAGCCAGAGGGCCGCCAGCCACCGATACGGAGCCTATGTGGGACCAGGCCGGGCAAACGCGCCCCGTGAAAAGTCGCGGTCTGGACGCAGCCTGCGACGGCCTCGGTGCCGACCAAGACGTGAGGAAGGAAGAACGCGTGAAGCCACCCTTGGCGATCGCAACAAAACAAAAAAAACTAAAAAAAGTGCCTCAAAAAGTCGGCAGCGGCGTCATCGGCAGGCCGGCGTCTCGGCAGGCGGCGCTCGGGGGGAGTGGGAGGAGGGGAGGGGAAGGAGGAAAGGGAAAGGAAGTGCTACTCATACCGAGATGCCGTGGTCCTGGTGCTGCTCCGCGTCGCGCTGCTCCGCGTCGGCGCACCAGTGCCTTTATGCCCACAGCTCCGCCCACGGCATTACGAGGGACAGCATTGCCGCGGAGGCCCTCGGGGGCGGGAAGAGCTTCCAGGCGGCCGCCAGAGAACTCATCGGGTGCAATTATAAGTCGCCAGCTCATTTCCAGATCCGGCACAAGCTGGACAGATGGCTGCTTCCAGGCACGCCCAGGAATGTCGCCACGCGTTTCGAACAGCGACTGGGGCTGCTGAGAGGCCTGGTCCCCCCACGCGTCGTCGCAGCGGTGTTCAGCACTGCGTGGAACCGACGGTGCACTGAACGGAGATTCCAACGTCGAGCGAATGCCACCAATTTCTGTCGATTTGGCTGCGGCGGCGCAGCGGAGGACAGTATCGAGCACTACGCCCGTTGTTGTACTGTCCGCCACTTTCATCGCACATCACTTCGGTTGGAGGCGGAGTGGTTGCTGCCACACTGGCTGGGCGCGCACGATCTCCAGCTCCAGGAGAACACCTTGGTACTCGGAGCGCTTGGCGCCTATGCTGTTTACCGCGCCTCCAACGTGGCCCGGGCCCGCAGCGGGATGCCAGCTGAAGCTGCTCTACGAGCTCTGCAGCAGGCGCTGAGGGAGGCCGCGGCCGGACACCGCGGCGCAGAACGGACGCTGGCGGAGCTGTGTGGGAAAGCTTTTGGAGTGTCTTTTGCCAGTTTTGGGCCATCAGCGGGGGGGAGAGGGAGGGGAGGAGGCGAAGGAGGAGCATGAGGAGACGCTGCCTCAGCAAGCTGTCTCAACTATGGGGATGGGCGCGGCGCCGAAACGCTCAAATGGGCATCTCGGCGATACCGTCAAGCTCATACCACTCTGTCAGGAAGTGAACGAGGGGAGGGAAAGGAGGGGAAGGACGGGAGCAGGTGGAGGGAGATGGGCATCGGGAGGAGAAGGGGGCTGGCGAGGGAGGCTGGGCCATGAAGGGGAGCAAGTCGCCCAGCAGCGGGGGTCCGACAGGGGAGGCAGAGCCATGAAGGGCAACGTTACGAAACCGGCAGCCGCACATTTGCTCTTCCGGGGGTCGGCGGAGTTGCGTGGGCCTCGTGGACAAAAAAAACAGCACACACACACCTGAAAAGCTCGAGCGGGTCGGGCGGACAGGACAGCAAAGCGGGCGGACCTTCCTGCAAGCAGCCGGTGCGGACCCCAACGGGCGGGTCGGGCGGACGGGCCCCGCCGGGCGACACGGGCGGGCCAGGCGGTCGAGACACTCAAGCGGGCGGGCGGCATGGCTCGCAAGCAGTCGAGCGGGCGGGCACTGACGGGCAAGTCGAGCGGGCGGGCCCTGCATACGAGCGGGTCGGGTGGCCGGGATATTCAAGCAGGCGGGGAGGCTTTTACGCCATCAAGGGGGCGGACCCAGCATGGGAAGCTCCGGGGGGGGAGGAGGAGTGTGTGTGGGAGGGAGAGGTGGGCGACGAAAAGACAGGGGACTTACGCGAGATGACAGAGCGGCCTTATGCGGCAGCTTACGCGGGCCGCCAGCGCGGCTCGCTACATTTGAGACGAGGGCGCCTACGCGCGACCTTACGCGGGCAGCTTACGCGCGTGTGGGGGGGCAGAGGGGGGGGGAGAGGTGGAGAGGACTGGAGGGCTAGAGGAGGAGACAGATCCCCTCCCCTCCCATCCCATCCAGTGCTTTTCGCTCCCCTCTCCCTAACCCACCATACCCGCCCGCCCATCCCTTCCCCCACGCCAGCGTCCGCTCCCCTCCCTGCTTCTCTCCCTACCTCCTCCTCCTCCGAGCCCGGAGCTGGAAAGGCTAGGCGAAGGGCTCGAGTAGGAGATCGATTACAGGATTTGTTTGCTAATTGATGTTTCCGTCGAGTCTACAACAAAAGCATTCACTGCGTGAAGCTCCGCATATGTGCATCTATTAGCGTGGACCTGTCCGCCGTGATTGTCGAACATTCACGGGCTTGAGTATTAATGGTCTAGGAGTGAATCTAAATGTGAATGAGTTGGAGTGCGCATAAGTCTCAGTAGTACTAGCGCGCCTCTGCGCATGAGCCTGGGGCCTCTGGGGCCTCCTGAAACCTCCTGGGGCTTCCTGGAGCCTCCTGGGGCCTTGTGTGGCCCCCTGGGGCCTCCTGGAGCCTCCTGGGGCATCGTTGGGAGGAGTCGCGCCCCAGGAGAGATCCCATTTATAGGAACAGACGAACATAAAACACTGCGGATTGGAGCCACAGGAGAAGGGCAATCGATAGGAATACACATAAAACACCAAGGACTCGTGCCCCAAAAGAGGCCCATAGGAGCATACGTAAAACACTTAGGATTGGACACGCATGAATATGACAATCTATAGAAACAGACGTACAACACCAAGGATTCGTGCTCCAGGGGAGGCCCAATCTAAAGGAGCATACGTACACCACATAGGATTGGAGCCATTCATGTGGCCTTCTGAGGCCTCCTACTCCTGGGGCTCCTGGGGCCTCCCGGTGCCTTCCAGGGCCTCCTGGTGCCTCCCGGTGCTTCCTGTGGCCTCCTGAGGCCTCCTGTTGCTTCCTGGAGCCTCCTGGAGCCTCCTGAGGCCTTCTGGAGCTTCCTGAGGCCTCCTGGAACCTCTTGGGGCATCCTGTGGCCTCTTGAATCTTCTCGTGGCCTCCTGGTGCCTCCTAGGAGCTCCTGTTGCCTCCTGGGCCTCCTGGAGCCTGCTGGATCCGTGCCCACGAGTCTGGTCACCGAAACAAGCAAATCGATCGAGACGTCCTCAAATTCTGTCCCCGCTCAAAGGTGAAAACGAGCGCCTCGCTCGAGACATCCTCAGCATCTGCTCCGAAAGCGGAGGAACAGGCAAACCGCTCGAGACATCCCCGAAAACTGGGCGTGAACGGAGGCCGTGCAATACCGCTGGCGACCCCCGTTCAGGAGTGCGATAACCAGCAAACCGCTTGAGACATCCTCAGGAGTACATCATCATCGTCGTCACCATATTCTTATTGTCATCATTCGGCATCATCATACTCTGACGGCACTATCATACTCTGAATAGGATGGGGAAGAGAGGGAGGAGAGAGGGAGGAGGTGGTGAGGAGTTCCGGTGCGGTCGGAGTAATAACAAGAACCCCATCCTCTGGATATGGGGAAGAATAATACATTCTTAGATATGTGCGCATTTGTCGCAAAATTGACGGAAAATACATTTCTTGGGCAAATTAATTCTGTAGTCGATCTCATACTCGAAAGGTGGGATCCCACCCGTGGACAGGCAGCCCCACGCCCCCCGAAGGCGCGTAGAGGACAAAGGGGGGCGGCGCTGCCCATGCGACGAGCGCGGCCGTTCGCGAGGATGGCGAACGGGGAGCTGCGCACCTGAAGGCCGCCAAATTGGGGGAGCCGGAGCAGATTCGGCGGCGCGCACAATGGGGTATAGGGATGGCGGTTCTCACACTGGCGATATCCACAATTGCATACGGTTGGGTCCTTCGCCAGGATCATTTTTGGACGGGAATGAAGGCATGATTAGAACTGGCTCAGGAAACGTTTCAGGATTTCCAGAGTATCCAGCGGCCTCGCTCCTGCAGCGCATCAGGAATGTTCGGGGACATCCTGGAAAAATCGTGGGACGTCTCATTCTCATGACCTCTTGGCTCCTCCGGTTCAGGGCGGCCCGGAGCTCCAGCAGCTTCTGGAAGGCGCTGTCGTTGAGCTTGTCCGCCATCCTTCGGCCGGCGGCGGCGGGGCCACGGGCAGTCGACCCCCGCTCAAAGCCAGGCCAGGCGCGGGCCTCTGCGCCCAGCTGTCCGCCGATTAGGTTCTTGCAGGATCCGCGGGCCCGGAGGTCCTCACACACCAGAGGCCTCCCAGATGGGGTCGCATTCGATGGGGCCAGAGGGTCTCGCCGCATCGCCGATGCATCGGCGATGCATCGTCGATGCATCGACGATGCATTGGCGGCGTCGGCGATGAAGCGGCGACGTCCACGTGGAGAGGATCGGGCTCCACATCGAACCGCATCGCCGATGCATCGGCGATGCGACGCGATCCTCCGACCACATCTACTCCGACCCCATCTGGGAGGCCTAGAGACATCCTGTAGGGAGAAGGATACGCACCACCATCACCACCTGGAGGATGGAGGCAGAATGTGGTCAGAGGTGGTGGTGGTGGTGGTGGTGGTGGTGGTGGTGGTGGTGGTGGCGGTGGTGTATATCGTCTCGGGCGCTCTCGCGGGACATCATGCAAACCTGAATCCCGCACATCAGCTCATCCTGAATCATGGTGATGGTGAGGCGTTTCCTGCTGGTGACGGTGGTGCGCTTCCTGCTCCCCCAGATGGTGATGATAGTGCGCTTCCTGCTCCCAATCCTGGCGTCTCAACAAAAAAATCGAGGCGAAACTGTTTCATCGTTTTCGGCATCTCGAGGCCCTTTCCGGGCGGCGGAGGCGTCAAGGAACGACTCAGGATGAGAAGCTGGTCCCTGGGAAGTGGTCGAGAGAGGTCGGGGGCCCATGTCTTCAAATATCGAACTGCCGGTTGTGTGCATCTCGATCGCTTCCCTGGGGGGCATTTCTGCGCCCCGGATCCGTTCCTGGCCATAGGGCCCGTGGCCTGGAACGCCGAAATCAAGGACGGACGCTGGGATTGGAAAAACAAATATCTTGTCGGGGTTATGGGTGGTAATCATCTCGACCACTTCCCCAGGACCAGCATTTCATGCCGAGTCGTTTTTAGACGGTCCTGGGGCCCAGTAAGGTCCCCGAGAGGCCGAAAACTATGAAAAACCTCCGTCCCGATTTTTGTCGAGGGATGTCTGGGGAGATCTGGGTAGAGATCATACTTCCCGCCGGAGATCTGCCCTTGGAACGCCGCCCCCCGTCCGTGGGGCTCCTGGGAGCGCTGGCCTCCCGAGGCGGCAGAACTGGCGCTCCTCTCCCCGGCGCCTTTCCGCATGCACGCCCAAGGTGCGCACCCGCCCGGAGACGCGTTCCCCCCGCCGGCGGTGAGCGAAGGGGGGAAGTGATAAGGAGAAGGCCTTCTCAGAAGGCGGCGGGGCTTCTCAGAAACCGTCGCGCCGTCTGAGAAGTTGTCTGTGTCTTCGGGGAAGGCTTGGAAAACTCTTCAGAGGGCTGGAGGACTTCCGAGCCTTCTGAGAAGGCCCGCACCTTCTCACTTCCCCCCCAGGCTCGCCGCCGACCCCGTCCCTGGGATCCTGGCGTCGCAATTTGTTGGAGCCAGACACTTCCGCACAACTTCGGACCCTAGGACCCTCACATATCGGTTCGGCTCGAGAAATGTCGCAGAAATCGGGAATCTACTGATCTGGGTCAATCCAGACACGGGTCAGTCGGACTTTGCAGGAACCTGCAGGATCCCGCAGGATTCTGCAGGATCCTGCACCCAAACCCAGGTCAGTGCGACCCTGGCCCTGCAGGATCCTGCAAGATCCGGCGCTCTTACCCCCATTTGCATTGACCCCCGTCTCTTGAGCCCCGAAGACGGGGTCTTAAGTGTTTCGCGTCGTCGGATCTGGAGGCTTTCCTCATCCTCTGCCCAGTCGCTCGCAGGCTGACCCGAGGGCACGGGAGGTTCCCAAATCAACTGGCGTGTTATTATTTTGACCGATTTCGGGCACGGGGAGCATCCAAAATAGACCTGAGACAAACAAATATCCAGGGAAGCGGTCGGTGCTTTGGGGCCACGGATTGAAATCGGCGGACGTCAGGGATCGCAGCGCCGTGCTTTGCTGGGAAGGGGGGCTCTGCTTCTCTCACCCAGTGTCGTTATTCGGCTTCCCTGCCCTGCTCAAATTTGTGCCAGCGGGGGGATGAGCCCGCAAGGAGAGCGAGTTCGACTGTCAGGACCACTGGCTGAAGCATTCCAGCTGGCTGAGGTCGTGCATGGGGCACGTTGCTGTCGCAGACGGCCGAATCGAACCAACCCCCCGTCCTCGTCGTTGCTCGCTCGTGCGCTGCCCTGACGGGCACGGGAGGCGCGCAGCGCATGCTCACTGAAAAGAGGCGCAAGCCGTGCCAAAGCACCCCCCGTGCACGGTCGGAGAGTTTGGCAAGAGATGTCGCACTTCTCTGCGCTTCGTCCGTTGAGGGGTAAGCTCACAAAGCCCACGTCGGGCGAGACAGGTATCCAAGACGTCGCGGCCGTCACACACGCAATACGCGACCATCCCATCTTCTGGAACCCACATAGGGCCAAACTGTGTTTTGAAAAAGCTGGGATCCTCGGCGCGGGTGCGTTGGGGATCGACTGCACCAACTTGCTGATGATGTGTCAACTCTGCTGTCGAAGATATAAGAGGCTCAACCATTCTGCCACCGAGACGAAGAAGACACTCCGCCAAAACATACACCCTTTGCGGCAGAGAAAACCAAAACAAACTTCACACAATTCACGATTAGGGCCATGGGGGGGCACGAGGGGGGGGCCAACGATGGGGGGCCAACGGTGCGGGGCCACGATGGGCCACCGATTTGGATGTGATTCTATACATCTATACATATATATATACACACAGACGTACATACACACGTCTATATGTATACAGCTACCTACATGCATGCATGCATACATGACGTACGTGCGTACATAAATACAGGCGAACATATATGCAGGCATACATACATGCATGCAGGCAGGCATGCACACATACATACACACCTACATACAGACATACACCTAGACACCCAGGCCGAATGATTGGCCCTCTGTGATGCTGAACTATGACAACGCCAATGGAACACATTAGATCCGCCGATACGGCGTGGGAGTTTAAGAAGTCTAAGCTGAAGCTCTGCTTCAGCATGAGCTTTAGCTCTGCTTGGGCGGGGGGGAGGGGTAATTAACTGACGAATTCGGTGCTCGGCACCTCCCCCCCCAGCCCCCAGGACAGAGGGGGGGACAGGACAGAAGAGGGGGGAGAGGGGGGGGGGGGACAGAAGAGAGGGGGGGGACAGGAGAGAGGGGGGGGGGAAAGGAGAGAGGGGGGGGGGGCCAGGAGAGAGGGGGGGAGAGGTGAGGGAGGGGGGGTGGGGACAGGAGAGCAGGAGAGAGGGGGGAAAGGAGAGAGAGGGAGGGGGGGGGAACAGGAGAGAGAGGGGGGGGAGAGAGAGAGAGAGAGGGGAGGGGGGGGAGGACAGGAGAGAGGGGGGAGGGGGGGGACAGGAGAGGGGGGGGGGACAGGAGACATGGGGGGGAAAAAAGGGGGACAGGAGAGAGGGGAGGGGGGGACAGGAGAGAGGAGGGGGGGCGGGGGGGGGGGCGGGATCATCACCATTTCCATCACCATCACCATCGTCACATCACCAGCATCATCCGCATCATCCGCATCATCAGCATCATCACCATCTCCATCACCATCACCATCACCACCACCATCACCAATCTCCATCACCATCACCACCATCATCATCATCACCATAATCATCATCATCATCACCACCACCATCATCATCATCAGTATCATGATCACCATCATCGTCATCGTCATCATCATCAACATCATCATCATCATCATCATCATCAGCATCATCATCATCTTCATCTTCCGGAGCGTCCCCGTTCGGCGGCACTGGCCTGATGCCACTACAATAATTATCCTGGGTGTGTAACATGTTCGTGAATCAGATTCCTGTGCTGCGCAGGTCCTCTAAGACCGTACCCGCGTACGAAAATTAATTGACATCTTGATCTCGCCCAAGCCTCTGTGCAAACAAATGGGTCGAAAATACACCTCTAAGGCCAGAGACTGTGACAGTGGACGCGGCGGGATGGGAAGTGTCCCACAAGCTCCCAACGCATACCAAGAGCCACCACTCCAGCACAACGCTTGAAATACGCCCAGGTAGCAGGCGGGTGGGTCAATGCCAGCGGTTCCCCCCATCAACCCTGCAACCTGGGGCGGATGCCCTCCACGACGGTCTTGACAGCAGCACCCGCTCGCCTGAAATACGCCCAGACCGCAGGCGGGTGGGTCAATGCCAGCGGCTCCCCCCATTGCCCTGCAGCCTGGGACGAACCACGAAGTCGATGCACAAGAAAGCTTGAAAATTGAGATACAAAAGGGCCCAGTATGCACCCGTGCAGCACGAAAGCGACGTGGACGAAGTAAACCACAAAGACACACGTGGCCAGCACCGATGAGGAAGCTGCTGAGGAAAAACTACCTGCATGAATTTCTCTCGGTCTTAGCCAACCCATCGATAAAAGCAAGACCCACACCAGTGAATGCTGCTAAATCTCCAGGTTGCCACAAGCACGCCGCGAAGGAGGAGGAAGGAAGGTGGGAGGCGGAGGGAGGAGACAGGAGGGGGGAGAAAGCGGGAGGACGGAGGGGGAGAAAGACGAGAGGGACGAAGACAAGCAAAATGCTAAGGTTGGAAGCTCGAGTGTCACGGCGGGCCCAGCCACCGCCCCGAACCGCTCCCATAACCTGGGCGCGATCGAGGGCCCCATCGGGCTTGGCCATCACACGAGCCCCTCCCATGATATACGGTTGCTCGAGCGCCACAGCAGGGCCGGCCAATTCCTGCATGCCTTGCCAAAAAATGTGGCACACCCCGATTCGAAGCGAACGCAACACCCATCCGTTCACTTGAACGGCACTGCGCTTCCGACATGTTGGGCTCAAAAGGACAATAGTTCGGCCCGCGTGTACGTATGTATGTATATATATATACACACAAGACTGCAATTGCGCTTCGCGCC